TCATGGGACTTAATAACTAAGGTTATTATTAGGATAACTATACTTATAACTACTTATAACCCCAAGCAAGGTACTTATAACCATACTTACTAAGTCCTATGATCCTCCAAGTAAGCCCCCTCTTAGGGTTTAGGGTTTAGGAGCCACCTAAACCCCAACCCCCAAACCATTGAAGCCCTACCTGAACCCCAAAGAACCTACCATTTTAAGGACTTATATCAAGAAATTATAATAAGGAGCCCTAAAAATGTAGGTTATTTGGGGTCCAGGTAAGCCCCCTGAAGAGCCTGCGGGGAGGTGGCTGCGAAGTCGCTTTGGGCTGCCACTGGCGGCTGGCAAGCGCGCGCTCCCAGGCGGCGGAGGGGTTCCCATCTAGGATTCGTTTAAGGGTTTAGGGTTCAGGGTTTAGGGTTTAGGGTTTAGGGTTCAGGGTTTAGGGTTCGGGTTTAGGGTTCAGGGTTTAGGGTTCAGGGTTTCTTTGAGGCTTCCTTTCAGGGTTTAGAAGGGTTTTTCACAGGGTCGGTCAGGGGTCTATATATGGGCAGTTCTCTAAATTAGGGTCCTTTTTTAGAAGGGTGCCGTACTATATTGGGGAGCTAGAGAGGGGCCCTAACTTAGAGAACTACCCATATGGCTTGTAAATCGAAGATCTTAGAGGGCTTGTATCATGTTTTTAGATTCCTTATTATAGCTTATAGTAGAATATACCTTCAAACCGTATTCTAATCATTATGCAGGCCCCTATATTACAAGAAGTGGAGGTGGCGAGCGCAGAGTTCTAGAGGACGTTTCATACCTGTAAGGATGTGCTTGTGTGTTTTGCTAGCGCAGTGATGAACCAGAAACCTTTAACTCTGAACCCATAGTCGTGCAAGGGACTTCAACGAGATTGCTGAGCCCTAAGCCCTAAACCCCGGCTGCTCTTCTTTCTTACTTATATAGAAGCCTGAGTTATCAAGATTATTCCTGAGGGTTCCTTAACTACGTACATTACAATATAGTATACCCGAAAATCCTAAACCCTAAGTATTACAGGCCTTATGCAATGGAACCCTTAGTACCCTCACAATAACCCCGAAAGGAACCCCTTCAAGGACAACTTGCTCCAATGATTACGGCTCTCATATTGCCTCCAGTTACACAGGTCGGTTTGCCCGAGGTCGCTTGGCTTGCACATGGGGCTGGAAGGAGGGAAGAGCGCGTCTCAAGGAGGGTTTAGGCCCTAAGCCCTGAGCCCTAAACCCTAAAGCCCTAAAGCCCTAAACCCCTGAGCACGTGTACAATGGCTCTACAGGCTTATGGCTCCCGGTTCGGCATTTAAATCAGGGCCCCTTCTGCAGCAGCATCAGCAGCAACAGCAACGAAGCCCTAAAGCACTAAAAAAACCCAGAGCCCGAAGCCCCTAACACCCTCGAACCCTGAAGCCCCTAACACCCTAAAGCCCTAAGGCTAAGACCTTGAAGACCTAATGTCCGGAAGCCCCACTCTGAAAGATAAGTCCCTCAACCATGAAACCGAAAGCCCCCAAATGCTTCGGATGTCTCACAATTCACCCTACACCCCCTGCAATCCTAACCCCTAACCCTCAACTCTACCGAAGCTCCAAGATGCCCGAGCACCGCGATAGCTGCACGACATCCCATACTAAACCCGAAAGTCCTAAAGCCCAAAGAGCCCCAGCCAACCCTGGAGGGTGCAAGAGGTGTAGGGTTTCGGGTTTAGGGTTTAGGGTTTAAGGTTTAGGGTTTAGGGTTTAGGGTTTAGGGTTTTGGGGTTTAGGGACAATGCATCGAAGAAAGAAAGCCGTACATAACCCTTCCCAGTAGGACCCTTTCGCCATTGTTCTTTTGGGTTCCCCTATTAACACCAAGCAGTAGGAAAAAGGTACCTGTAAAGATGATTTAAGGGGCTACCGGGGAACCTAGACGACCTAGACAAGCCCTAAACCCCCAAACCCGTATCCTAAACTCCAAACTCCTGAACCCTAAAGAAGCATAAACCCCTAAACCCTGAAGCCTAAAACCGAAACCCTGAACCCTAAACCCTAAACCCTAAATCCCTAAACCCTAAACCCTAAACCCTAAATCACTAAACCCCTAAACCAACCATCCCAGGTGAACCTCGGCCTGCTTCCCGGAGCTGGGGGTACGCAGCGTCTTCCCCGGCTCATCGGTGCGGTCGGGGCACCCAGACCGTGGGTTTAGGGGTTTAGGGGTGTAGGGTTTAGGGTTTAGGGTTTAAGGGTGTAGGGTTTAGGGTTTAGGGTTTAGGGGTGTAGGGTTTAGGGGTTCAGGGTTTACGGGATTTAGGGCTGTAGGGTTTAGAGT